GAGACTCATTTATAAATCTGCTGTTGTCAACAAAAAGAAGCGTTGAGGTCTTCCTGCGCATTTCTGCCAAAATAAAAGTTGAGAAAAAGCAAGAACTCTATCAACATTCATAAATGTTAGTATTGTAATTTTACTGTTGTTCTGTAAAATACAATAAAAAGTAAGACAATAATAATGATAATAATCATTACAACCGCTCTGTTAATACATTTATTATAACATTCACACAGAGTGTTCAAATTAGGATCTGTAATATTTTCTAATGTTTTAAAAAATAATGTTTTTTTTCTTTGAAATGCAAGATAAAACAGTAAAAGCACATTTTGGCTATTTAATTCATGCAATGGTGAAAAAAATTGGCAAAATACATGGGGGAAAAAAACTCGAAAAACCGTGTTCGGTATTCAGCCTTCGGCCTAGTGATTAATTTTGTTCGGTTTCAGCTTCGGCCGGGAATTTTCATTTCGGTGCATCCCTAGTGTCAACACCTCACTTAAATCTCTATTAAGCTCAAGTGCAGCAGTGGATTGACAGATTGGCTCCCCCACCCCACTTTCTCTTTCCCTCTCTTGTGCATTGTTGGCCCCCTTTGACAAATACCTTAATCTGAGCACATGGGCCGGCATGCCTTTTAGGGATCGAGTGGGACCTTCTAGAAGCAGATGAATGAGGGGCATGGTTGGCTGCACGGGCCAGATTTTCTGTTCACAGGAACAGCCTTGCACTCTCCCATGATTTTCTTAGCATTATCATTTCTTTGGCCTAGCATACATAGCCTCTCCCAATGCTAGTGTCACATGCCCCTCCACTATAGTTGTTAAGCACGCTGCTCTTAAGCCTAGCAGTACTCCAACCTGTTTCATTGGGGCAGGGCCAGACAGATGAAAGACTCTAGGATGAAAAGAGCAATGTGGAGGACAGTAAACGGCAGACAGTAGAGCATAGTTTATTGTCGTGAGAGACATGAGCATTTAGCATTGAATCGACTCCTTCAGTTAAATATAGCTAAAAATTTAAAAGTAGTTTATTGAAGGGAATTTGAATAAATGTGTTAAACTCCCTCTGTCTCTTCTGTTGCTGGTAATGGTATATATCTGAGTGGGCTATTTATTTATTTATTGTCCAACAAATTCTTGTCAATTAGTTGAGGTCAACTAGTTTATTATTATTTTTTATTTATTTTATCTGAATATACGTTTTCATATAGCGCTGTCACAATATCAGATTTTCAGAACATGATTATTGTGGCCAAAATAGTTCACAATAACAATATTATCGGAATATCTACAGAAATAATAAAAAAAATGCGATCAGTTACATTTACTTTTTTGTGTTTTCTGGTGTTTTTGGCCTATAGACATTCAAAATACGAGTGTAGGGAGGGGGAGATAAAGAGTAACCATAGCTGTACAAAATTGCACAATAAGTTAACTGTTGATCAGCACTTGCTGCAGTCTTTTTTGCAGAATCCAAAAAACTCCCACACTGGTGAGCTAACCTTTCCCACTTTCATCTGTCATCTCCATTGACATGAATTTGTTCTACAGTAGTAGGTACACTGCCTTTGTCATCTTTTTTGTTTCTAATACTTTGACAGGTAGATTAAGCATTAAGGTGCAGTATTGCCACCTAAGTTTGCTGACAATGTGATGTTCTTTAGGTGTTCAGATGGTTAAACCCTCTCTGAAAAGCCAAACACATTCAGATGGACATGTTGTTGTGTGTTTCATGCTGATTTTGAATGCTCTCTGTTTAGCCTTTTTTTTGTTTTTTTTTACATGCAGAGACATAAAATGGGGGGGGGCATAAAATGGATGTCAATGGTCACCAAAGCTGTTCGGATACCATCATTCTTCAAAATATCTTCTTTTGTGTTTCTCAGAGAAAAAGTAAGTCATACAGGTTTGGAACGACATGAGAATGAGTAAATAATGACAGAATTTTGATTTTGATCAGAATTCTGATTTTGATCAGTCAAGCAGTCATTTTCAACATTGTTGAAAATCTGTAAGTTTACCTACACGCATGCCTTTTATGCCTAGTATTTTTGGGGTTTCCGGCCTGCTGGGGGGCAGCGAGCGGGCCACTCTGACAGGGGAACTCCTTGCTATGATGTACAGCCTGGGGTCCACTCAGGAGTGAGAAAGTTCAGGTTTATATGGGCCAGGCTCTAACAGCTCAATAACACAGGCCTGTAATCTACTCGGGTTTCAAACACAGGGCTGATTTACGAGCCAGCACGCCACTCCGGCATTGAAATGAGGTGTTCAGCATATGTTTTGTTGACATAAATTTAAAATTTATTGCTGTTGTCAAAACTGACTGTTAGACAAAGTCGCTTATTAACTGAGTAAATGGCTTGAGAGTTTTATGCCTGCTTCCTTAATGACTACAGTCAGTCTGTTTCAGGCACACAGAGTGCCACCCCTCCCCTTTCTCTTCTGCTTTCACACACACATCATCTACAGTTTCTGTGGCAAAGCCAGAACACAGCTGGTTGGAAAGGCCTGGGGGGGGACGCTGATTCTCACAACTTCAAACAGAAACGAGGGGTTGTTTAATAAAAATAGTTTTTGGTTAGTGCGTCTTTATAGAAGAATCAACCAAAGAATCAATTGAACCAAGCAGCTTATGGATTTCACTAGCATGAAAATGACTCTGTTTAAAGAAACAAAAACCTGCTTTAAGCTTATTTCGCAGTGTGCATTATCTATGTAGTATGAATAGAAAGTGAAGAAAGTACACATCTTTGTTCCTCATTAAAGGATGTATACATTTGGCACTAAAGTGCAAACAATGAGCTAATTACCACTGGAAACAATTACCAAATGCTGTAAGCATGCTAATAAAAACCAATTCAGTTCACCACTCGCAGCAAGTTGCCAGTGTTCTCGCAGCATTCTTACAAACCTCGTACTTTGAGCAGCCCGTCGCTCCACCACAACCCATAAAACCACTTAGCTGCCATGATTGAGTTTCATATTCTTAACGAGTGGCTGTGACCAGCCTGAGTTTGTTAATTCACTAGCGTTGACTTTCGATTGTTTCTACTTGCTTATTAGCAATCGAATGCGATGCATCTGAAGATTAGTGCGGTTGAAAAGATGTAGATGCTCAGGATCTTTTGTGGACAAACCTGAGAAAGTTGCACTGTGCATTCACTGGTTGATTTGAATCCACACATGGGATAAGGGCCAAAGCAGAATTAGGGCTGGGTATCGTTCAAATACCGATACCTTGACTTCGATACCGTTTCCTGAACGATACTTTTTTCGATACCAATTTTATGAAATCAATTTTAACGATTACATTATCTAAAAAAAAAACTTTGGTTTTATTTTTCAGCTTGTTGATGTTTATACAAACTCAAAGACTCATCTCCTGAGCCACTGCACAAAGGAACAAAATGTAACCAACACAATAAATCCATGCAAAATAGTTTTAATAAAGCTCAAATAGTATTCAGTTTACACTATAGGCTACATTTACGCTAGTTAGTGTTCGTTTTAAAATGCATAGCTCAGACAGAATCATGATTTCTATTTATTTTCCACTGATTTACTGATGAGCATTAGCAGCTTCCAGCGCTGTATGCTTGTGTTCTCTCTTCCATGATCGCTGCTCTGACTCGGAGGTAATAACATATTTAATTTCTGCAACATTACATGGCCAAAACACACATTAGA